TAAGGGATAAACTCCTGACTGAGGCTGAAGAAAATGTAAATATATGGATGAATGAAACAATAAAGACAACTCAGGACTTGGAAAGAGAATTCACAAGAGATAGAAATATCGAAGAAAACTTAAGCTGAAATAAATATGGAACTGGAAAACTCAATAAGGAGAAAGTCTTACAAGCAGAATGAATGAAAATGAAATGGAAATCAGAATATCAAGACTGGATGATAAGTCTGAAGAACTGGACTGCTCAAGCAAAGAATATGAAAAAATAAAGCACAGCAATGGAATACAAAGGAGATGTGGAAAACCATCAAAAGACTTAATCTATGCATTATAGGCACAGAGGAAGGAGAAGAATCTCAGGTCAACGGCACTGACCAGATCTTTAACAGAATTATAGGCGAAATTTTCCTAAATTAAGGAAAGGCATACCCGTACAGATACAAGAAGCTCACAGAACACCAAAGAGACAGGACCAGAACCGAGACTCCCCTTGGCACATCATAGTGAAAACATTAAATGCATAGAGTAAAGAGAAGGTACTGAAAGGTGCAAGAAAAAAAGTTACATATAAAGGAAAACTCATCAGAATTACAGCTGACTTTTGAATACAAACTATGAAAGCCAGAAAAGTGTGGAGTAAAGTATTCTAAGTTCTAAACGACCAGAGTTGCCAGCCCAGAATTCTTTTGTTAAAAATATTTTTTTATTGAATTTTTGTGGATTTCATATAGTACATCTTAATCATTTTAGACTCCTTCCCCTAGTTGCCCCCTGCCCCGAGCCCACCCACCAGATTTTGTCATATATGTTAAGGCCTATCGAGTCAAATTTGTGTACCCAGATATCCCTTGGTGTGAGTTCATCCACTGGAGTCTGTTCAGCCTGTCTTGCATCACTCCCTTAAAGAAAATCAACTATCCCTCAGTGATCAGCTGCCAATAGTTCCTCACCAAAGTTGTGGCCTCCTGCCTGTTTCCTCAGTTCTGTGCTGGTTTTTGTTTGATTGAGATTGCATGAGTCTTGTACATGCTGTTACCATTGTTATAAGTTCATATGAGCAAGGTCCCAGGGCCTTGTAAGACTCTGTTTCCTTACAGTCATGCACTTCCTCCCCTGGCTCTTACAATCTCTCTGCTCCCTCTTCCACAATGGTCTCTGGAGTCCTCAACCCAGAATTCTTTACAAAGCAAAACTACCTTTCATAGTCAAAGGAGAAAGAAAAATCTTCCATGATACAAACAGGCTGAAACAATTCATGTCCACCCAACTAACCCTACAGAGAATATTTGAAGCAATACAAAGGACCAAAGAAAGAAATTGCTATACAAAGTGGTTACAGAAAGTAAACAATTGAAGGTCTAAAGTACAGAAACAGAAATAAGACTAAGAACACAAACAGAAAATAAAGTGACGGTAACCAATACACACCTTTCAATAATAACTATAACTATCAATGGTCCCAACTTCTCAGTCAAAAGAAACAGGCTAGTTGAACTAATTAAGAAATATACCTATTTATTGTGTATAAAAGTTTCATTTTATAACCAAGAAGAGGCAGCACCTTAGGTTGAAAAGATGGGAAAAAATGTTACAAGCAAATGGCACTAAGAAACAAACAAGAGTTGCTATTCTAATATCTGACAAAATAGATTTCAAATTAAAATTAATCAGAAGAGATAAAGAAGGTGACTACATTCTGATCAAGGGAACAATGGACCACAAAGACATAACAATTATGATCATATATGCACCAAACACTGGTGCACCCAGTTTCATAATAACAGTGCTGCTGGGCTTTAAGACACAGATTAACCACAACTCAGTAATAGTAAGGACTTCAATACCTTACTTTATCCAATAGAGAGAACAAACAGAGAAATGTGAATTAAATGGATCATACATCAAATGAGCCTAACAGACCTCTACAGAATATTTTACTCAAGCATCAGAGAATATAATTTCTATTCATTACTGTATGGAAGTTTCTCTAAAACTGGTCACATACTGGGGCATAAAACAATTCTCAACAAATACAAAAAAAATTGAAACAATTCCATCTATTCTAACAGACTATAACACAATAAAACAAAATCAACAGCAAAAGAAGCTCTAGTAACTACACAAACTTGTGGAAATTAAGCAGCACACTCCTAAATGATGAATGAGGCAAAGAAGAAATTAAGAAAGAAAGAAAAGTATTCCAGGAAGTAGATGAAAATGATAATACAACACCTCTAGAACAAAACTTCTGGGACACATTAAAAGCAGTCAAATGAGGGAAGTTATAACTCTAAGTGCCTACATTCAAAAAATCAAAAGGATCACATAGATAATTTTCTATGTGAATTCAAGATTGTGAATTTCCTGAAGCCAGGGAACTAAATCACCAAGTCCAGGAATTCTTTCAGAGTGCTCATACTGACTATGGCGGTCATTCACTTTTCCAGATTACAATGACCAAGTTGAGGCCAAATGTTGAAAAGATTTTTCATTTATAGCACATTATCAAGTCGTTTAGAGTATCAAAACAGAAATTTGTCCCAAATTTGAGGATAAAAAAATGATTTATAGACATAGCCTCTTTAGTGTATAAACTACTCACTTACATGAGTGAAACATGCATCTTCTTCATGGTTAAAACCATCAATGCAGTGTTTCAAATCATAACAGCATTCCAAATGGAAATGAAATTATGGGAGCTCAAATAAAGTCAGTGTTATGCACTGACATGCTGACTTCACACAGTCCTGTGAACAGCAGAGAAAAATATGTAGCCTTGATTTCATACAAGGTTTTAAAAACAGATTTGAAGATCTGGGGGAAATTAATATTTTTGTATGTTTTCGTCTCTATTATTAATCATTATAAATACTTTTAGTGGAACTTTTAATTGAAATGCATTTTCAAATGGAATATATAGAACTTTAATCTGACATTCAACTTAAGGAAAAAAAAGATGATTATGCCGCTTTATCAGGCTTTCCAGAGACGGATATCCCTCACTCCACAATCACGTCTTATTCACATTGTAGTTTTTTGGCAGCCAGCACTTGTATCTGTGAACAACTATTTTTGAGAATGAGGCACACTAGGAGTAAAATTAGACCCTGTGAAACCTGATGAGTGCCTAGAGAGCTCACTGAGAATTGCCACCACTTCCATCGAACCAGATACTGATGTGGATTATGCCGCTTTATCAGGCTTTCCAGAGACGGATATCCCTCACTCCACAGTCACGTCTTATTCACATTGTAGTTTTTTGGCAGCCAGCGCTTGTATCTGTGAACAACTATTTTCGAGAATGAGGCACACTAGGAGTAAAATTAGACCCCGTGAAACCTGATGAGTGCTTAGAGAGCTCACTGAGAATTGCCACCACTTCCATCGAACCAGATACTGATGCGTTGCTTTCTCAGATACAAAGTCAACCAGCTCACGGGTTTATGTTGCTTTTTTTTCTTTTACTTTTATAGCAAAAATTATTTTAAAAAATCAATGAAGTTTTATGATTTAGATATGTTCATTTTCTCTATTGGGACTGTCTGATGATTTTAAAAAGACCCTCCAAGCATGGCACTGAACAATTAGAATTATTATGTAAGGGCTTTTTATGCTTATCCATTGTGGTGGGCATGAAAGTTATACACAGACTTTTTTTTTTCTCATCAGCTTTCATTAATGTTTGTGAATTTAATGTGTGGTACAAGACAATTCTTCTTCACCCAGTGTGGCCCAGAGAAGCAAAAGCTCGGGCACCCCTGATTTATACACTATGTAACAGTTGTGGTAAAGGCCTCCTGTATCAACTAGGGCAGAGCAAGAGATATCAGTACTATTATAGACTGAGTGAGACCTTGGGCAGCATCTTAGTATTTTAAAATACCATGGCAACTATTTTATCAACAATGGTCAGATGCACTCAAGTCTTTCCTTCAGTGGCCTTCTTTTTTCAAAGTATTTACTTATCTTGAAAATCATATGTATGGAGTGTGTTTGTATGTAGGCATGTGCACATGGGTACAGGTACCTGTGGAGGCAGAAAAGGAAGTCAGATTCCTCGGAGCTGGGATTACAGAAGGTTGTGAGTCACTGACGTGGTGCTGGGAACTGAACTTGGGTCCTTTGGAAGAGTAGCATGTGCTCTTAACCACCGAACCATCTCCAGCCTTTAGTGGTCTTACTTTTTTTAAAAAAAATTATTTATCATTTTTATTTTATGTATATGAGTGTTATGCCTGCATGTAGGTAAGTGTATCTGTGTTGTACCATGCCTGAGGAGGACAGAAGAGGCTGTCAGATCCCCTGGAGCTGGAGTTACAGACAGTTGTTAGCTGCCATGTGGGTGCTGGGAATAGAACCTGGGTCTTCTGCAAGAACAGTCAGTGAGCCTGTTCTGAGCCATCTCTCCAGCCCCCAGTGGTCTTCCTTTTCTTTTATTATGGTGATCCCATCTGTGGGGAAGGACCTAGAAAATGTGTTTTTGTTTTTTTTTTCCCTTTTTGAGGATCCTAAAGTTTTTGTTTGTTTTCCGTTAGTCTCTAAAATACCATCTCTCTTCATAACAGTGTCCTCTGCAATTTTACAGTCATGACATTCTCCATTGTCAGAGCACACGTTTTCCAGATCACACAACATCTAAAGGTCTTATCGGTGGTTTATCTCTTAGAAAGAATGCGTTTCCATGCTTTGTTTTGAGAAATACATAGGAAGGATTTGGAGAAGAAAAGAGACAGTGAGTGTTTGTTCAGTATGGAGCCTATAGGAGCTCTCCGGGAAGTATGCTCAGCCCAAAAATGTGGGATCAGGAGTTCGTGTCCCTGACAAGCTTTTTTGAGATGTATTGCTTCCTAAGCCTGAGCCTGATTTTGCTGGATCAGGATAAAAATAACCATGACACAAGTATTGTTTGTTTTCTTTCTTTTTTTCTACTGGCTGTAAGCAGAAGTGTTTGACTTGTGTGCTGCCCACTTCCTGTTTCTCCTCTCACAGTCACAGTCGCTCTTGCTGAGGGCAGGTCTTGAGCTTGGGTCATGTTTTGCTGAAAAATACCAGTAAGAGCACATTGGCTTTATGAACGCAGCATGGCCTCCGATAGCGCACACACCTTGGAGACTTCACACTGTTCACTCTCCCAAAGGGACTGTGTGTCAGATCCACAAGGAAAGCCGGAGAACTCACAAGAGTGTGTGACCACAGAAGACGGAACATCCAGCCATTCCTCTTGCCTGTCAGCCAGCTCAGTGGTAAGTCCACGTGTGTGCGTGTGTGCGTGTCTATGCTCTATTTGTGTATCGTTGGATCGTATATGTGTTTGGATTGTATATGTGTTTACATATGTATCTGTACTTTTTCTGTATATGTATGTGTTGTATTTATGTTTGTGTTTTCAGTTGTGTAAATGGTATATGTGCTATGTGTTTACATTCATGTTTACATGTATGTCAGCATGGTATGTATCATGTTTGGATTATATACACATTCACATAACTGTGTACTGTTTGTGTATGCATACGTGTTGTATCCATGTGTGTTTATAGACATGTAGTTGGCTGTGTAGGTACACATTTCTGTGTATGTATGTGGTATGATAGAAAGAGCTGTAACTATTGTATAAAAATTGCAAAAATTCAATAAAAATGCAAAAAAACCACGAATTAAAGTATTTTCCCACTTGATAGGTGTCTAAATAAAATTGAGTACTTTAGCTAAAAAAAAAAACAACAAAACCTATAACTAAAAAGTCAGCAAAACTTTGTGCTCTGGGGCAAACTTAGCGCTAATGTTTATCATTTTCTTTCAGTATTGTGCAATTGAATCCACAATCTTGCCTATGCTGAGCAGGTATTCTAGCCCTGAGCTGGACTCCCCACCCCCGGTAGCTAATGCTTGGCAAAACACTTCTACGAATTTCGCTTTCTGCCTGAGCAAAATAACCAGGGTGATATCTCTCTTATCTGAGTTAGAGTCAAAAAACGCAGTGTGACCAAGGTATGTGCTCAAGGCAGGGCCTGGGGTGGGGCCGTGAGGCTCTGAGGGTACAGACTCTGTCTCTGACTACACTGGGCACAGTGCAGGGCCCATCAGTTTTGCTCCCAGGTGCCTCCTCTGCTCTGTACCCCCACCCCCGGCCTCACATACTGGGCACTGTTTTCTATGGAACCACCTGTTCTAAGAAAGGATATGGTTAGCAATAAAACGCTGCCTCAGTTTCCCCTGGGATGTAAGGAAGCCAGAATTAAAGACTGAGAAGTTTGCATTTTTTAGGCTGTCTGTCGAAAGATAGACAGTGATTTTCTTGTTACTGAGGGCCCCAAGGCAATTGGAGCAAAGTTCTTGCTAACATGCAGCTGCCCAGGTCTGAGTGAGGCTGTCCGCTTGGGACTGTTTCCTCTCTCTTCCAGGAAGCCGCAGACGTTCCTCAGCTACCTGTATCCCTGACAAGCACACATCCTTCTCTCATCAGATTAGCGATGGGAGTTCCTGGTGGATGATGAGGTGGCTCTAATTTCCAAGGAAGACTAGGGTTGATCTAAAAATGTGAATATGTTGAGACACTGGAGAGGAAGAGACCTTCATGACTCTCCAGGTGTAGGCCCAAAATTCACTCTGTAGGGGCACATAATGTCAAGGCAACGTGAACATCCTAACCAGACCATATCTCCATTGCACACTGAGGTGGTGCCCAGTTCCCAGGAGGGCTCTGCCTTGCACTGTGAAGGTCCCCATGGCTGCCACCTTCTTGGTAACTGCTGCACCTAGCTACCATCTCTCAGACCTGCCATTCCTCACTGATAAAAAAGCCTGAATGGTTCTCTTTGGGGTCAGGTCTGAAGCAGACCCTCTTCATAGCTTCCTACCCCTGTCCTCTAGGCAGACGTAGGCCTTGTGTGGTCTGACACTCATGGGATGGGGGCTCACTGCATCTGTACCTAGTCCTCCTCCCTCACCTCTGCTGGGTCCTCCCTGTCCTCCTTCCCTTTGTCATCTTCCCAACGCACAGCTCTAGCTAAACAGATTCCATCCAGTCCTCAAGGTCTAGGCCAGCAGCTCTTTTCTACATAACATGAAGTCTCTTTAGCTTGTGCTGAGGACCACAGTTGGGGGGTCCTAGCCTGTGTGTCTCATACCCCTTCTCCTCATCCCTTATTCAGCACTGCTCCCCAGTCAGTGCAAAATAATTTATATCTGACAAGAGAAAGGCAAAAGGCAAGTGTCCCTTAAAACACAAGCACTAAGAAAGTTCATGGGGCTGGTGAGATGACACAGTGGGTAAAGCGTTTGCCATGAATGCCTGACCAGCTCAGTGCCATCCTGGGAATCCACAAGGAAAGGGGGGGATCGACCCCTGAAATTTGTCCTCTAACCTCTATATATGCACCATGGCACATGCTCCACCCACATATGCCCATGCTAATGCATGTGCATGCGCGCGCGCGCGCGCGCACACACACACACACACACACACACACACAAGAAATAAAATTTAAAAAAGCAAAAATTTGAAAACTTATATAAAATTTGTTATTTCCTCTAGGTGGAAGAAGAAAAATGTGAACAGATTCCCCAGGAGGCTCCCCCAGGGCAGCTGCTGCAACAGTCTACACAAGAGCCGTCAGGAGGTACAGTCACTTTCCTAGCAGATGGGAACTAGAAAGAGGTTAGGGTGGAACACGGCTCTGCAGGCAGACATGGATCTACCTGTGGAAAGAGGAGAGACGGAAGACCCTCACCTCAGGCACTGACACACTGCAGCCAAAATAATGCAAACAGAAACAAGACTTTATGTTAGTCCTCTTCTTTATACCGCACAACTTAAAAGCACCCCTGACAGGTCCAGTCAGAAATGCCAGTTCCAAAGAGCAGGGACCTGCCAGGGGTGGGTGTGATGAAAACACTGGCCTTTGCTCACAGCACTGGAGGTCAGTCCTGCGTGGGTGTTTAGCAGGTGCTTGTGAGTTGCAGTGGTTGACAGCAGCATGCAAGTGGAATGTCCTTTGAGGCCACTATTCAGGACCAGGCACCTGGGGAGACAATATAGGGGTGCTAGAAGCCTTCCCATATTTTTCTACCCAGAAGATTATTTTGCTTCACTATATATTTTAATATGAATGGTTATTCTTCTTTATGAACTTGAAGGCCCTGGCCATCAGAAAAAGTGTCATGTTAATTTACCACACAGGACAATTACTGACATGTGCTTTCTTTTCCACCTCTGCTTATACAGGACAAGGCTCGACATTGCTTTTAGAACTTCCCTCTACATCTCATGATACATTGGGCCTGGCTCCAACTGCTCAGATGGAAGTTACGCCTTCCCCCCAACTTTGCCTTGACAGGGAAGGGAGGAAGAGTACTGACCAGCTACGTTATTCGAACTCTCATGTATCCACTCAAATTCATGTCTCCCTTGGAGAGACTGGAGAAAGCCAACAAGGTCTGCAGGCAGCAGAAAAACCTATAGGTACTAAGAAGGAAGAGCCTGTCTGCCTTGGTGAAGGTAACATTCTTTGGCCTGAGACCCATCAGGGTCTTCCCTGGTGACTACGCCTGAACATCCTTAATATGAGTGATTAGTTTTCTTTATGAACTTAAAGGGCCTGGCCATCAGAAAAAGTGTCATGTTAATTTACCACACAGGAAAATTACTGACATGTGCTTTCTTTTCCACCTCTGCTTATACAGAGCAAGGCTCGACACTGCTTTTAGAACTTCCCTCTACATCTCATGATGCATTGGGCCTGGCTCCACCTGCTCAGATGGAAGTTACGCCTTCCCCCCAACTTTGCCTTGACGGGGAAGAGAGGAAGAGTACTGACCAGCTACGTTATTCGAACTCTCATGTATCCACTCAAATTCATGTCTCCCTTGGAGAGACTGGAGAAACCCAACAAGGTCTGCAGGCAGCAGAAAAACCTATAGGTACTAAGAAGGAAGAGCCTGTCTGCCTTGGTGAAGGTAACATTCTTTGGCCTGAGACCCATCAGGGTAACATCCTTACTTGTCACTTTCTTATGTGCTTTGGGTCTTAGCACCTGGAAGGCCAGGAGAGGGCATTTCCTTCTTGGCCTCCAGCCTCAGGAATATCTAAAAGTCTTGGGCATTAAGTCAACCGGTGTTTGGTTGGCATCTGTAAGTGTCCTCTCTCAATTAATGGGTCTTGTGTCCCACTGGGTAGAATTGTTCAGTCTCCTTCCTTCAAGATGTAGGCTAAGAAAGTGAGCCCAGAGTTGGTCTAAGGGACAGATGCTTGTCTCTGTTACCCACCTCATCCTGGGACAGTCTGCCTCTTAGATAACACAGCATACCCAGGGTCACAGCTTCTGATAGAGAGGATGGGCTCTCACTCCATTTCCTTCTGTTTTGTTAAATTCTAGGAGAAATTAACAAAGAGGAAGAATCTACCACACAGAGACTGAACCTCATTCTGGTGGGGAAAACAGGAACTGGAAAAAGTGCAACAGGAAACAGCATCCTTGGAAGGCAAGTATTTGAGTCCAAACTTAGCCCTAGACCAGTGACCATGACCTTGCAGAGAGGGAGCCGAGAGTGGGGAGAGAAGGCGCTCGAGGTGATCGACACCCCAGACATTTTGTCACCTCACGTCCAGCCTGAGGAGATCTTTCAAGGCTTGCCCTCACCAGGGCTCCACGCCGTACTCCTGGTGACACAGCTGGGCCGGTTTACAGAGGAGGACCAGCTGGTTGTCAGACGCCTGGAGAAGATCTTTGGAGAAGGGATCCTGGCTTACACCATCCTGGTGTTCACACGGAAGGAAGACCTGGATGGAGGCTCCTTGGATGATTATGTGCGTGAGACTGACAATCAGAACCTGGTTAAACTGGATGTGACGTGTGAGCGGCGACATTGTGGCTTCAACAACAGGGCACAGGGCAAGGAGCAGGAGGCTCAGCTGGAGGACCTTATGGAGAAAATTGAAGCGATCATGTGGGAAAATGACGGCCATTGTTACAATAATAAGGCTTCCCAATGCTCCCAGCAGAACATTTCAACTCAAGAGCAAGGTTCTGAGGGGTTCTCCACAGAGCCCTGGCTAGAAAGGCTGTCCCAAATCCTGATGCCCATAAGACTTTCAAACACCTGATGGGGAGGGCATCCATCTGAGGTCAGGCTGGACATGAGCAGGAGATCCATCAACAGTAGCATCCTGTATCCAGCCGTCATTGCTTACTCCCTCTGTACAGAATACTTCCAAGTCCCCAGAACAGAGTTTCAGGTGTACCAAGGAGTGGGGAACAGTTCAGGGTGCCCAGCTAACATCCTGAGTCTACCGTGGTTTCTTCCCTAACACTTGGGTCTTCCCTTTGTTTACCTAAACAACACAATGCCTTCATATGGGACCTTCCATCCCTGACAGAACCAAAGATCTTGATTGCAGGACTGGGGCTTTTGTCTGTGTAAACTGCACTTCTAACAATGGGAGTCAGTCAGAGGCGGGGCAACACAGTGAGTCATCGACAGACATGATGATTATTGGGGTGTTTGCACTGCTTCATGGACAGAGATGGCAGTGAGAGAACAGAGGCCTGACCACCAGTTAGGCTTTCCCATGATATAAAGTATTATAATAGGTTATGTTTGATAACTATATTATAATTGCCATCCCATTTCTAAGCTTTTGTGAGGCGTTGATGTAATGGTTACATGTGCACAATAACTAATTCTGAACTGTGTATGTTCTTCCAAGGGAGGGGGTGAATAATACCTTCTTCTTCTCTTGTGAGTTAAGTGTAGTTGGACCAAATGTGCATGAGCTCATCAGCATGTAAGAGAAAACCTTGGTGATTAGAGCAGAAGATAGACAGGGAAGAGCAGAAATCCAGGAGTCAGAAACCCTCGGGAGCCAATCCAGAACTCTCCTCTGTGCATCATCTCTGTGCTCCAGCAAACGCCCCCAATAAAGCTTGTTTTATTGGTATCACTTGCTTCTTCGTTATTTTTGTGTGATTTAGGAAAGAACCGTGGACAGATTGATAACCACAGTGGCTCTGACACACGTGGCAAGATGGACCCTGGGCTAGGGAGGGTGTGAATGGGAACAGAGAAAGAGGCAAGACCAGCCCGTGAACAAGTCCTGTGGGAACATCCTATGGGTCAGGGTGGAGGTGGAAGAAGCCAGTCGGGCAAAAGAAGCACCTCACACCCAGGCTGTAGGACATGGAAGTAACTGCATCTGCCAGGTGGACTTGGGCAAGGAGGCCAGCACCCCCTTTCCCTGTGAGACTTAGACTGGGGAAGTCCTATTTCTTACCTCCCCTCTGTACTTGCGTTCTAGACCACCCCCATATCTGCCTCCAGGCATCAGAAAGCAAAGGATAGTTTCAAATTGCCTCACACTTACCTGAACCTCCCTTCCCTTGGCAGTAGGGGAGCAGGGAGTGTGGATGGTGTGAGGGTCTTGCATGTGGAAATGGCTCTCTCCTGGGATCATTATGGAAGGGTCAGTGGAGGGACACAGAGAAGGAAGAAAACTTGCACAGGAATCAGTTAAGTGCTCAGACATCATGTAGGTGGGCCCTGCTTTATCGGAGAACTCTTCAACACAAGGGCATCTGCCTGCAAAGCTGTTCCTACAGAGAGGGTATAAAAAACTAAACAAGGCAACAGCACATTGACTCAGACTTTTGACAGGAAGCAGTGTGACCAGCTATACAATAGACTGCTGAGCCTCAGGTGCACTTGAACTTCTGTGAGGTTTAAGACACTCCTGGAGCTGTGACCAGCTACCAGTGCTCATAGGGGAAGGGGTGGGGGGACACACCTGACTCCCCTCACTCCCCTTCAGGCTGTGCATCAGTCTCCAGCTTCCTTCCCCACAGAGGGTCGGAAAGGGGGCCTAGTAGGGATTGTGTGGGAACTCTCAGGATGCAGAGGATGTGGCTTCAGGTCCTGCAGGTCAGGGCTCAACCTCTTTCGTCTGCCTGAAAAGAGGAACTCCTAGCCCTCCTCACACAGACGGAAAGTCTCTGAGAGTAAAACATCATAACTCACCTCTATGGGAATGGACCTTGTTTGGAATGCTGGGAAGCACCTGATAAAGGATACCTAATTTCCTTGTAATATTTTAACTTTCCCTAAACAGGATACAGACTATTTTTAAACCCTAGGATCCCAGCAAGCAGATATGACCTACACCCTTACCTCCTCTCTTTCTGCCCCAGGGAGTTGAGCAGAATTAATCAGCTGTTTTGATTTCCTCAGCCTAATTCTTCTACCTGAAGCAATCTTCTCTGTTAAAAATGAGCCTTGTGTTTTGCAGTCATGTTATAATGAGACAATGGATGTGTGCGTGTATGGATGAGTGTTTCTATTACTGAGCTAGGAGGGAAAAACAGTACTGAGCAAAAAATAACAGGCTCTAAAGTCTCACAAACATGCAAGCGTACTTTCAGAGCACGCCTCCTGGAGAACACAATGATTTCAGAACAGTAACAAGATAGAGAAGCTTTGTTGACATGTTTAAAGTCCTTTTGTGTTAACAGAAGCCTTTCTAGGAGCCGTGCTTTGAAGCAGACAGAAAGGAATCTCCTGGGACTGTGAGTCCACGGGTGCCTGGGGAAGATTCTCCATTTCACTGGAAGTAACACAAATGTCAAAATTAAACACTGACTACAGTGGAGACACATGGAGAAAGCTGAAAATTTTTATAATTTTTCTTAGTGATCACACATTGCATTGTGGGGGGTTACAATTAAATGTCTCATGGTGTTTAAACCAGTGCAGTCTGATCTGTGAAGCAGTCCTGTTAGGAGGGGGTGATGAGTACTCCATGCGGGAGTCTAGACAGCCACCCCAGCCATCTTCCCACTCTCCATGTGAATTCCGGTGTCCGATGGGCTCTCTGGGCTCTGCCTCTGCCCCTCTCCAGTGATGTTCCTTGTCCTCCGGGTCTGTGAAGTGTATACAGAAGTCCAGCCAAGGTGACTCATGGTTGATTTCCCTTTGGGGTATCTTGGCTAACTTCTCATATCTCTACTACAATTGGTCTAAAATTCTCTATGGCATGTGGAGGTGGTTCTCCACCAGCCCTGGGCTATCATGTTGAGACTGTGTTTGGCTGCATGTTAGAGAAACCTCACTTCAGTGACTTATCAATCAAAGAAAGGGATTGATTTTGACACGACAAAGGTTTGGGGGTTGTTCCCCTGAGTCTGAGTCTAGGGCTAACATAACTACCAAAGAGTCATCATCTGCTTCTCTTCATACTCCAACATTCTTTGACAGTAACTCCTGTCCTCTGAATTACAGAAGGAAAGAGGAAGATAGCAACCACAAGCCAACCACAAGCAGAACATGACCTTTTGGTCCAAGAGCAAAGCAGATGCAGAAGTCCCCCGACTACCCATGGGAAATGCTGTGTGAATTCAGTATTCATGGGGACACTTTGCTTTCTAAGCAGTTATGTAGTTATGGCTGTAAGGAAGAAAAAGCCTTGGAAGGGGCAGGCAGAGAACTGGTTAGCTGTGTGATCTGTGTCTGGCATGTCACTCTGGGGCCACCACAGTCTCACTCTTGAGGCGACTTCCCATAGCAACCTCTTAGTAGACCAAGGTCTTCTTAGTTCTACACAAGAGTCAAAGACAGATCAGGAAAATAAACCCTCAGACCTGGGTTGGTTTCAAATCACATAGGAGCTTGAGAAACTCTGAATAAACTGTTAAGAAACAAATGTCAGAGCGCAAGAGAAAGCAACCAAAACCAGAGGAAATTAACGTGTTGCGTTCCCAGAAGTTTTGGGGAGTCTACTCTGGAGTGTCACGTGAAACTGAGAAAATTAGTCCCGTCTCTCAGCGTTCTTAGTCTGCTTAACAAAACACTTTAACAACAACTTAGAAGGAAACCAAGGGCAAGTTTATTAGAGTTCACGAGAAAAACCAGAGGGCAGGCAAGCTGTAAATCAGTTGCCCAGAGAAGAGAGGTGGAGAGAAGGAAGAGAGAGAGCCAAGCCTTTTCTGAGTTTGGCATGAAGGTTTTGCAGGCAGCCACACGACAAAGGGAGGCAGCATCAGGGAAAGAGAGAAAAAGCCTAGGGCACCAGGGAAAGCAAACTGAGCTCTGGCCAGCCTCCGAAGGACAGAGGCAGGAAAGAAGAAACAGGAAGTCGAGATTCAGAAAGGCAGCAGACCTAACAGAGCCTCATGCTGGGTTTGTGGGAAGGAAACTACACGATCTCATTAGGGTGATAATTATTTCTCCCCTCTCCTTAGCTTGGCTTTAGTGAATCAGCCTCCCTGAGGTATGTTCTCTTGGTCAGGTGATTGACAGACCCAGCTGAACTGACTCATGTTTTAGGTAGCTTGGAATGTTAGGTCTTGCCCATGGCCCAACTTAGAATAGAACTTAGATTCTATTGTTTTGACCAAGAGGAAATAGTTTTGCTTTAATGGATATCAACAAAATCCAAATATCTTCCAAGACTCTTATAATATTTAGACCTTTGAAACAGGGAATTACAGATGGCCACGTCTACTTTCGGAAAGCTGCACCCCAGGCCAGATCTCAAAGGATGAACAAAACTGACATCTCCAATGAGCATCTTATTTCCTGGATCAATACCTGGACCGATGGAAGTTGGGGTACACGTTTGTCTGATTCATTATTCTGCCTTCCCCTCTGGATCTTTCCCCCCAGTAAAAGGGGAGCTTATCCTATACCCATCCTGTTACCTACGGTAGTACTTACAAAATGTTATTCTCTAGTGAATGAATTTAGGCATGGTTAGTGATATAACCACAGGAGAAACAATACCAGATAAATCCATTCTTAACAAAGTATCCAAATCCTAAGAAGGCTGTCATCTTTCACAAATTTCTACTGACATTTTTACATGCCAGAAGCTGTTGTCAGCAAACATTTTTCTCTGTATTTTAAAACAATTTTAGTTATTATTTTTATTTTATGTGCATGAGTGTATTGCCTGCATGTAGGTAAGTGCACCCATGTTGTGCAATGCCCACGGAGGTCAGAAGAGGCTGTTGGATTCCCTGGGACTGGAGTTAAGGACAGTTGTTATCTGCCATGTGGGTGCTAGGACTCGAACCCGGATCTTCTGCAAGAACAACCAGTGTTTTTAACCACTGAGCCATCTTTCCAGCCCTTTCCTCTGTATTTTTATGAAGGAAATGTTGTATTTCATAAGAGTTCAGTTTGTTAAACAACAAAGTGTGTTCTGGGAACTAAGAATGCACATTCTAACACATCCCTGTATTTGTCTGATGTGGCAGCTCTGAGGTCACATTTTAGAATGGCTGCACTGGGGCTGCCATCCTGTGCTAGAAAAGGGTAAAGGAGGACAATTCTGTATGGATCAGACGTATTCCTGTTTCAAGTGTTGGTAACGAACAGCAGGATGTCAAAGACCCTCTCTCCAGAGGAGTCTAAGAAATGGAATACACACAAATATCTGAACCATATAAAGCAAAATATCATTTTTGACAATCTCCTTAACTCACCTAGCATGTGATTCCCTAGTAGTTAATTAGAGTCCAAGTAGGGACCAGTAGCCAAAGTGGTATTTGTGATTAAACATCTCAATCTTTTTACTTACATGGACAGAGGCAGTTCTGCACAAAGGGTCACACAGTGAGACCAGAAAAGGAACTGAAGTGCTGTGGAAACTCCATTTTAAAACCAACCTCCATTTTATTAAACACCCCAGTTGAATCTTTCCAGTAAGAGCGAGTAGTTCCTGGAATACCCAGAGACCAACTGCCACAAATGGTCAAAACTGCCTCCCAACCACAAATGGTCAAAATAGCCTGACAAACAAACCACCAATCACCTACGGCCCCGTACATTCACCCCACCATGACGTAAGGCTGTGGTGGGCCCCCTATAAAAGGCCAGCCCAAACGATGGACTGGGCCTTCTCATAGAGCTGGGACGCCAGT